CTGGTGTTTTTGACTGGTGAGTAGTGATAATTGTCATTATAGCAAGTCTCTTGAAAAGGTTTTTTTCTCACATTGTATTATGGTACTACCACAACCCTCAAAATGTGGACAGGTTGTGCTAGAAGATCATTAATTTGGTTTGGGGAAAGCTGAGGTGGGAGAATCTTTTGACAGAAACTATTAGTTGTGCACTTATGGAAAAACATAAAGGGTCATGGAAAGAAATTAAGGTGAAGGTTAGTTTAGTGTTACCTACGTACGCTGCAGGGCAGTGGTTCCCCTATGGAAATGTGATTCTGCAAAAGTTCACTCAGACATCTCTTTTTAGATTTTTATTCGTTCTCCTTGGTATTTTCCTTTTACCTCACAATTCTGTGGAAATTATTTCCTAATAAAAATTCCAATGAAATGCGCTGAGGTATTTGATTTTAATGTGACAAAATGTGTGAATTTGATTTCCGCTAACTTTGTCCTCTATGTTTTACAGGCCAGTCAGAGATCGAGCGTGCCTGTGACTTGTTGTTCGAAAAAGCTGAAAATATAGACTACCGCTACGACGTGCAGGACCGGACCGTAGAGGGTCTTCTCATTTTACCTCTTTACGGATCCATGCCCACTGGTACGTCCCCTCAAGTCGCTTTCCCACCGATATGTCATCTGTGCTGATAAAGGCTGCACTGTAATCTGCCGATGCCGTTTTTGTTGTTGTTGCAGATCAGCAGAGGCAGATCTTTCAGGCTCCTCCTCCAGGAATCAGAAAGTGTGTGGTAGCCACAAACATTGCAGCAACATCCCTCACCATCAATGGTATTAAGTAAGTCGAGCTTGTCCTCCTGGAGGCTTACCAAACAAATATGTTCCACAAGTTGAAAATTTTTTTCTAAAATCTTACAATATATTTGCAAAACCCCTGCATTCCTACCTGTTGCAATGTCTTTTTAGCGCAAGTCGCAGAGTAATGAGACATCTGACTGAATTAAGCAACTCAGAAACACAGTTTTCATTTTAACTGCTTACATTTGCCTCATGATCTCATACTGAAGAATTATAGAGAATTTTAGAAAAAAGACAACTTTTAATTGGGGTACATCTCTTAAGATAGAATAGAAAAACAAGCCCCACATTATGAAATGGTTTTCTTTACAGGTACAGTCACAAGTCAAAACCCATTAGTCTGTTGGTAAAGTTTGTCACTAAATTCTTTACCCCAACTTTAGTTGCTTTCTCTGCCGCTTGGAAGTAGGTCAGGTTTGCTAGGAACATTAGGATTTTGTTTTTTTATATATATTTTCAGTCGGCTGCAAATTAGTGTATACTTAATGTACAATACTGGTGAGTTAACAGCAGAAGCTCTGGAAGCTGGGTTTTGTTTTTTAAGTTATTCACTTTATCACTGACCTTTATTACAAATGATCAAAAATGTAAAAGTGGCACAGAACTGTTTTTTTTTTGTTTTGTTTTGTTTTTAGGAAAGTGTTTTATGCTAGCCAGTAGAAAATATGGTTGGAATAGGGTTCCTTGAAGTTTATCTCCTCTCTGACAGGTTTCCGTTCCTCCTTTCTTTATTTCATTCAGGTACATCGTAGACAGCGGCTTCGTGAAGCAGCTCAATCACAACTCCAGGGTGGGGATGGACGTGTTGGAGGTTGTGCCGATTTCAAAGTAAATCCTGATGGCAAACATCGCCTGGAGACAGATCTCGTCAACGAAGAAAGAGATTGAACTGGGTATTGTGTGGATTTTCTCTGAACAGGAGCGAGGCTCAACAGAGAGCGGGCCGAGCTGGGAGAACCTCAGCTGGGAAGTGCTTTCGGATCTATACCAAGGAATTCTGGGAGAAGTGCATGCCGGAATACACGATTCCTGAAATTCAGAGGACGAGCCTGACCGCTGTGATCCTCACGCTGAAATGTCTCGGTGTTCATGATGTCATCAGGTACACGGTTTGTTTTGTGTCTTTGATTCTCGGCCGCATAAGGTTGATCAATTATTCAGTGAGAAATGTTGATTTATTCCAGGTTTCCTTATCTGGACTGTCCAGAGGAAAGGTTTATTCTTGAAGCACTGAAACAGCTCTACCAGTTTGATGCAATAGACAGGTGAGTGTTGGAACACATCGATCCTCTGGTCTGCAGATCTCACGGATGTTTTATGAGGCGTTGTCTTTCTGATGTAGGAGAGGCAGGGTGACGAAGCTCGGGGAGCTCATGGTGGAGTTCCCGCTGCACCCGGGTCTCACCAGGGCTCTGCTTAAATCCGCCTCACTGGGCTGCCAGGACCTGCTGCTCCCTGTGGCGGCCATGCTGTCTGTGGAGAACATCTTCATCAGGCCAGGTCGGTGCATGAAGCTTCTTATAATATAAAAACTTCCAGTGAAAAATTAAAAATATCTTGGCGAACATGAGATAATCAGAAATGGCCTAAGGGAATAGCTAGTAATGCCACTGTTTTGGCCTTTGGAAAATGATGTGCAGGAGTATAATAACAGGTGTTCAATAAAGACATGAGATGTGCCTGTTATTGCTCTTTTTTTTCCCCCTGTAGGTCAACCTGACAAGCAAAAAGAGGCAGCGAAGAAACACAGAGAACTGGCTGCTAAAACCGGCAGCATGAACGATTTTGCCACTCTTCTTAGTGTGTTTAACTCCTGCAAATCCAGGTAAGGAAAGGATATAGCAACATGCTCTGCAGCTAAAATGTCTGTCCATGTTTTGTATTCACATTTGCCCTTTCTTCCCCTTTCTGCAGCGACAGGCCATCAGGCTGGTGCAAGGAGAACTGGATCCATTGGAGGGCGCTGAAGTCAGCTTTTAGTGTGGAGACTCAGCTGAGAGAGATCCTCCTCCGCCTCCAGCAGGTACAGCATCCACATCCTACGTCTTTATGTGGGATGAGAATCAAAATATTTTGTTGACTCTTGCAAATAAAAAATAATAGTAGGAAAAACAAGAAAGTAAGTGTTGTATTATTGCATATCAATCCAGATTATTATTTTGTCCTCTATTATTGATCATCCATTAGAGTTTATAATTTTATTCTGCTTTTTATCATTGTTATTGTGCATACAACTACAGACTTTTATCAGAATTGTCAGCATTTTTACATATACTATGTAAATATATATCTTTATATTCACATTGTATTATAATCTGGCTATTTTATGCTTTTGAGAAACGTAACTTAAAATGTATTTTCCAGAGGAGAGATTTTCCTTTTGAAACTTTTGACGGGAATAAAAGTGAACTCTTCAGACAGTGCCTTTGCACCGGATACTTCACCAATGTTGCCAGAAGGTATCACTAATATTAGCGAGACGGTGGGATTCACTACTTGCTTGTTAATCTCAAATCTACCATATTGTTTAGATTTGCTTTAGTTGTGAATCAACCATATTTTTTTCTTGAGCAGGTCTTTTGGAAAAGTGTTTTGCACAATGGACGGCCATGGATCTATGGTTCACATCCATCCGTCATCATCAGTAAGCATTCTTTTTCTATATTTCACTTTAAGACAGCAACAAAAATCCACGTTATTGTTAACATACCTGCCTGAGCGCTATTTGTTGTTGTTTAAGTTGTTTGAGCAGGACATCGAGCTGAACTGGGTCATCTTCCATGACGTGCTGGTGACCTCCAAGATGTACATCAGGACAGTGTGTCCTATTCGCTATGAGTGGGTTAAGGATTTACTACCCAAACTTCATGAAGTGGACGTGTATGAGCTGAGCAGTGTGGCAAGACAAGAGGTTACAGAAGACGAGATGGTGAAATGGGAGAGCAGAGAAGCGGCGAAAAGACAACAAGGTGTCCAAAGTATTAATTTAGATGTTTACGCAGTTGTGTTTTCTGTTTTATCTATTTTTTTTTCTAATCTGTGATTAAATCTATTCATAAATTTACTAAAAACAGGATTAGAGAAAAAAAAGTCCAAATTGTTTAGACTTTTTATGAAATTTCACTTGCCAATATAAACATCTCCTGGAGCATTGTGTTTGTGTGGCTACCATCAACTCAGAATGCAAGCATTTTATTCCCAATATTATGTCATTCAGTGTAACAAACCGTAAACAAGGTGGCCTTTCCTCTTGGCTCTATTACAGATTTGTACAAAAAATAAAAATAAAAAAACCTGTTGACAAGAAAATTTGGAACAGATCAAAACATTTTAAAATAATGGCAATATATTAAGTGAATGTCTTAACAGCAATGATCAGATTTGAATAGTTTGAGTCTGAAAGTGGTGTAGCAGCTTTTGTTCTGTGTTTGATATTGGTATACCATTTGCTGAATGGCAGCAGCTCAGAGACACTGCAATGACTTGTTCAGCTCCCCTCACTATCCTCTGCAGGGCTCTATTGTAGGATACAGATAAAGAGTGGTATTTGCTTTAGTTTCCTCGTTAAGCACAGTCTCTGCTTGGCCCCTTTCTCAGTCCCCATGGTGTTCTTTGATCAGGTGTGGCCAAAACATCTGTACTCTGAGGAATGGGATTGTGTAATTGTCCACTTGAAATCTTGTAACATGTAACATGTTTTTGTCTGAAAAAGTAATTATGAATAATTAAGTGTCCTTCCACAGAGGCTTCTGCTGAAGATGTCATGAAGAAACTGGAGAAACGCAACAATGAGGCCACAGTCAGCGAGGCTCGAGCTCGCTACCTGCAAAGGAAGCAACAAAGACAGCAAAATAAAGCTCTCTGAGCGAAATAGCTTGTTTTCATTTGATGTTATCTGCACTTTGTAAGCAATTTTTAATAAAAAAAAAAATACACTGCATCTGTATTTATTTCACAAAGACTTTCACAATACATCGAAAGGAAGAGAAATGGCAGCTCATGTTAAATATTAGATTAAGTTTTCTTTATATAAAAATTTTTTTCCAGCCAATGTGTCAGGAAGTCTGCTCCAGCTTTGCATAGAAGGCTTGAGGTTAAGGTCATACTGCAGTACGTGGTGTACTTTCACACCGACCGTTCAGGTACAGTGGACCCTCTGCTTGCTGGACGTCACTTCCCATTGTGTGCGTCTGCAGGGCTGTTGTAGTGACACTCAGACGGAGGGCTTCTATGCTAAGCAAGCGACTAACCGCATTAAACCCGTAGAGAGAAGCGGCTTGTTTGTCTTAAGTTATAAACTCGGTTCGGCCATCAATAACGTACTTGAGTGGACTTTATACACCACTCTGCTTGCTTAGGTAAAAGAGTGCCGCAGCTTCTAACCGAGCACGCCGCCGCTCCTGCCCGTCTCCGCCGCTGCGAGAGAAGAAAACAAGCTCGGTGAGCAGTGCGCTAAAGCTGTGTGATCATTGACAGAGTTCAGTACACACAAGCTCCCAACCGTAACTTGTCGGCGCATCGTGCAGCTTAGCTCAGTCGTTCTTCGGAAAGCCACGGTTGCGGATATTTTTTGCCTCCGAAGTCGAGGTAAGGGTAGATATTAATGAGAACTAGCGCAGGTGGCTAACATGCTAACTAGCTGTTAGCTTAGAAATATGTTTTGGCTAGATGCCTTGTTTGATCTTAATGCGCCCTTGGTCAGTGTTCTGGTCATTGCCCGTATGTTTTAATGTTGTTTGAAATATCTTTAAAGTTATATTAGTCATATCCATCAATAAAACACACATTAAAAGCTGAAAGGTTGGTGACTATGTTAGCTAGCTACCACCCTCCAACGCTGTGGCTGTGTTTACGTTACTGTGTTTCAGTGGGCTGATTGTAGTAATGTATGGGTTTTGTAATAAAAGTAGTTTTACGCATTATTTGTTGTCTATATGTGTTCAGTATCTTTCCCTGCTTAGTTGTGGTTTTAAAGCCGCAAAACAATATTGCGTAAACTTAAGCAACTGTCGTGTTTTTTTTTTTTTTCTTTGGGAGGACAAACCTGCTTACAGTGAAAGGTTGGCTTTCTTATTTATTATCTCAAAAAGCAATTACCTAGTAGTACTCTGTGCACTCACAGCGTAGATAACTATGGGGAGCTATAAAAGGTCTGAAGTCGAGAGAAGCCTTATCTGTTTTTATCTTGGTAAACAAAGCAGTTCAAACAGCCTTTGCGGCTGTATGTTTTAAAAAAGAAAACTAAAAACGTATCTGCTCAATATGGCTTTTAGGTCATTTTAATCATTATTTATTATTTTATTTCAACATTGGTTACGACAAAAAGAAACAACATGCAAAATGTTGACATGTATGATTGGTTTGAATTTTTCCCCAATATTTTCATGTTTGCATGAAGTTTTTTTTTTTTTTTTAAAACTAAAGATTTTTTGAAACCTAACATATTACCTTTTTATATTATATTGGGTTTTTGTTGTTGTCTTTATTTATTTGTGTCGTTCTCCTGTGTACCACTCTATATCTTTTCTAATGTATTTTCTTAATTGCTTTTAGCTCTGTAAAGCAATTTCTGTTATTGTGTGAGCTACAAACACTCAGCTCTGTAGTTTTCACTGAATTTCCCTGAAATTCTGGTAAACCTATTATCTAACTTAAGCTGTTGATTCTGGGCTGACCCTGGATCAGGGGCTGTCCACTAACATTTACCAAAATCAAAAAAGAAGACCGTTGCATTTTAAATGAAGAGCTTTGTATCTTTCTCTCTGTTTGATCATTGACTTGGAGCACCTTATAAGGTTTACATGGCACCACTGAAATTCAAAAACAGCAGCCATGTTTTTTTTGTTGTTTTTATTTAGCTATACCATAAAGGTTAGAAGACCAAGGTTACGATATGCAGCTATGCATGATCAACCCGACTGGTTTATGATGATGGTGTGCAGATTTCAGCAGTTTTCAGTGTTGTGGAGTTGTATTTCAGGACACCAGAGTGCTTAAGAAGGTGATTTATTTTCCAAGTAGGTTGCTATGTTGACAGCTCTCAGAGACATGTGAGAGAAAATATGCTGCCTTCATACATTGCTTTCACTTTATGTTTTAACCTTCATCTCAAAGGTTGTAGTATTTCTTCTTTTGGGTTCTGTGTCTTGTTTGCTTTTTCTCTTTTTCTTTATGTCTCTATGGCCCGTGGCTATTTTTTCTGTTAGGTGTTTTCTAATGTCGACTACAAATACATGTGTAGAGTGTTCTCCTGATCTCTTTATAAGATGCTTATTCTTCACAAGTCTTGTTTTTTGTCCTCCAGGTGTTCTATCATATAATCTTAAGCTACTGTGAGGCACTTACCTAATAAGACCAGTTTCCATCAGCTTCCCTGCAGCCCCCTACCTACCCCAACAGTCTTCTGCCCCAGCATGGATGAAGTCACTGTTGTTAAAGAAGGATGGCTCCACAAGAGAGGTAAGAGGCTCTTTGTGCCTATCATGAAATATTTGAATATACAGTAGCAAAATATATTGGCATTCATATGTGTGTTACATATGGCATGAAATAGTAGCCTGATGAAAACCAGCTCCTTATTCTTCATTTCCATTCATACAGAGAGTCTGGACCCTCTGCTATTGAGAAACAATTTTTTTGCTGGAGGTGTGCACATTACTGAGTGGGTTTGGGTGAATGTGACGAGTGTAGTGTTTTGACTGGTCGATATGACTTTAAAAGCACCATAAAATTTAGTATGTTTTGCCATTTAGCTTTTTTTTTTTTTTTTTAAGTTTTTTGCATTTTTTTAAAGTGATGAGCTTCAACAATTCCTTGATCTGTTTTGTCCTGTGGATTTTGTTGTTTCCAAGAAACAATCAAACAGGAAGTTATCCTGACTACTAATTCCTTAACAGTAAAATTATGAAAAAGCTCCATTAGCCTTTATTATAACAAAAAGGGAGGGAAAAAAGACTTTTTAAATAATTTAGCTAATTTTGTGTCAAAAAAAAAAAAACTCAACAAATGTGTGAAAACTTTATATTTTTGAGTACTGTTGGCTCCATTTTCAACGTACATACAAACTGTAGATTGCTAAACAACAAATGACGTGTAGTTCATGTCAGAAATAATAAGCCCGCTTCATTAGTGTTTTTCTGATGTCACATTGTCACGGTTTGGTAGCTCAGTGCCAAACTAAAGCTATTTTTTTGAAGTTATTTTCCTGCTTGTGGCAGTCATTACTAAAAGGCTGTTTTTCAGGTTTAATGTTTGAGCTGTCAGACAGAAAAAAAGCAATGCTGTCTCTTTACAATGTTCTCCTTACAATGTATTAGTACACTGTCTGTCCTTATATTTCACAGTTTCTTTTTTATTCTCCTTCTGTTGGCATCGTTTAATGGGTTCGCAATATTTATGTCAGTAAACTTAATGGCACACAGTGTACTGGGGCTTATATAATATGTCATTATTGCTCTCATCCCAGGAGTAAAGTTTCAATCTCCAGAAAAATAAATTTCTTCTACACCTCTCGTCATAAGATGGGGAACTAATATGAAGTAGGCTATGCAGACTTGCCTTGTCGAACCCCGTCCTGTCCCCAGGGAAATGCTGACTTGATTTGTTAATTGTGCTGAAACAAGGAGGGATCCCACCATTTAAAGACTCCACATTAGTTTTTGTTCAAAGGGAAAACTTAAAGGGATACTTCCACATTTTGTCAAGAGAAATTTTGGGAAGGTAGTGGCTTCAGTTACCTTACCTCTGGTAAAATAAGGCCATATGTTTCTTCGTTGGGTTGGAAATGTCTAGATGAATTCATCCACTGATCAGTCAAACTGATTCAACCATCAGCTGTTAGAGAAACCTTGCTATGAACACATGGATGTTTTCGACTTGGAGAACGATAACAAACCTAAATACGGTTTTTAGAGAGACTGGAACAATTAATATTCCCTTCTGTAGCCGTCCTTCCAGGGTGTTGAGATGTATTTTTGTGATCATGGTCTAAAGTTACTGATTTTGCTGCACTTTTTTCAAAGAATCGCAATCAAAATTTCACTTTTTCTTTAGCTTTATTTTTGCCATAATATGGTCTTCCAAAAAGTTGAAATCGTTGCACACAAAAAAGAAAGCATCTTAACATAGTTGAAATTTTGAGCTCAAATAATGTTTTCAATTATCTTGTATAATTTGTGCCCTTAATACCAATGAAATTACATCCTGAGGAGTTCTCAAAGTGCGAAAGAATAATTCAATATTGGCCATTGACGTTAACAAGATAAGTTTACACGGTATAAAAAAAACCTGCAGAGCATCTCAAAGTCGCTTTTGCAAAAAAAAGCATAAAACACACTTTCATCTTGCTGGTTCAGCTTTCAAGAGACATTGTGAGACAGAAAGTTAAGGGACATCAGGGATTGGTCATAATTTGTCAGAGAATACAGAAAGCGTTAAGGTGATTGGTCAGATTTGCGGAAAAGTTGCGATTGACTGGTGAAAACTTGAACTCTGCGCAAAATTTGCGAATTATGAGTGAAGGAGAAGTAATAGTTGCAATCACAATGCTGCAACTTCCTGGAGGAAGCAATGTGTCCTATGGAGAAACATTTTTAAGATACTAAAGTAGTTAGTTCTTCTGACTAGCTGTTAGCCTTGCTCTCTTCTGAAGATTTATTCACTTTTTTTAAAAGTTAATGGCAGTAAGACATTGTTCTGTTAGAGATGAGTGAACTATGACTGACACTTTCTTGGAACTTCACTCTAAAGTCCGAACCATCCTCCTATTAAAGAAATATCAAGAGAAGAAGTGGTGAAACGCTGACACACAATCTCTCGTGTTTTTGTGTCCAGGTGAATACATCAAAACATGGCGACCTCGCTACTTCATCCTGAAGAGCGATGGATCCTTTATCGGATACAAAGACAAGCCGGAGGTGTCCAGTGACCTCAGCCTGCCGCCGCTCAACAACTTCTCCGTCGCAGGTTGGCTTCCCGTCCAGCTGCTGTTGTGTTTTCATGTCTTGCCTGGAGTGTCTGATGTGTCTGTGCTCTGTAGAGTGCCAGCTGATGAAGACGGAGCGCCCCAAGCCCAACACATTTGTAATTCGATGTCTGCAGTGGACCACTGTTATAGAGCGGACTTTCCATGTGGAGACCAACAGCGAGAGGTAAGACTCGTCATAAATTTGACCTTAATGAAATGGGTAAAAAAAAAAAAAAAAAAAAAAAAAATTTTAAAAAACAAAAAAAAAATTTTAAAATGAAAAAAAATAAACCCCAC